GATCCGCGGAGGCCTGGTAGAGGCTAACGTTATCGTCAAATTCTTCAATTATTCCTTTCTTGGAACTAAAATGCCTCACTGTAAATGATTTGACTGTGGTCCCCTTCTTTGAAAATTCAATAGTCCCAAGCCACGTGATCTGATGTAGCGTTGCCGGTAGTGTACCGGCCCACCGATTGTGACATTTGATGCCGATAATAACTAGTGTATTGTAAAGTGTCTGTTGTTTGACAACGAGATTGAGAAAAAATGATGTGGTGAATAGCAAAATTACAGGCAAACAGCTACACTGTTGTATGTGTATGTGTCGGATTAAGGTTTAGCTTAGAACAAAATACGCAGGGCATGGTGAAATCAGGAACGATGTTGAAGACGCAATTTTCCCGCGATATCTCAATGGTTGGGAGAGTGACACACAAGTAGGTATGACGTTAAAAACAGGACTACAAGATGCACTCAATGATTAACGAAAATACCGAATGTCTGGTTGTGGATTTGTCATTCAATCTTGCCTGTACATAAAAGTGTCGGATTAAGGTTCACTGCTGTTACATAGTTACACACATACGCAGAACATTAATATATAATATATATATATATATACATTTTTTTTTTTTATAATGTTACTGCACTTCTAACAGTTACTGTCGAGATGCCAATTGTACTTACACTGCTCATGACATATGGATATTCTGTCCAGGTCATCCACATGGTAGTAGTCATAGCCAGATGTCCCCAACACTTCAAATGGAAGGTAGCCAATGATAGGAGGTGCTCTAGAAATACAGCAGGAAAGGCATCATTAATTACTAAGAACACCACACTCAAAAAAAAGGAATCATTTCAGAAATTATAATCCGGATTGACAAATAGGTTAACACTGATCTTTGCCAATCTGACTGTTTGGTCTAGTGTTCTTGCCAGCCTGAAATTTATTTCTGTCATCTCAATTTCTTTGATGTATCATCACATTGGGCAATCCTAGGGGGTCTGGGGGCATGCTTCCAGAGGAAAACCTTAACCCTCTGAAATGCTATTTCCTATATTTCGAGGGGCAAAAATTTGCTGGCACTAGACTAAGCTTAGTTTCATGGCATTTTTTACACTGGCATATTTTTACACTATCAAAGATGATGAATTGGGCTAAATTTTTGTCCATCATGAGTGGCATACAAATGAATGTCAAATGACGGTAACGCTGGTTTGAACACTGGTTTAGTCTACCGGTATATGTTGTGAGTATAACAACATCTATCATTAAAGACGTGAGTAACAACTCGAGTCAGGCGAGTTACAAGCAAACTCTGACATGTTTAATGCAATGAACAGTAGGAACAGCCAGGCAACATGGCACTGTACGTCCAGCTGACTGGCCACTTGACCACACTACATAATCAGGTCACGTGACCAACAGTAAATGCCCTAACAAACCCAACTGGCACAATCCTTCTTTTCTTCTTTTTCCACATTGTGAAGCACAAGGATATATATGTGTATTTAACTTCCATAAACTACATGTATATATATATATACATATGTATATATATATGTGTATATATATATGTGTATATATATATATATATATATATATATATATATATATATATATATATATATATATATATATATATATAATGCTCATTAACCACTAAGATGTAAACATGTATATTAAGTACTATGTATGGGAAGTCTGGGTCAATGTAACAACGGAATGAAGAAAACATACATAGATGATTGATTTTGGTTACTTTAGAAACTACGACTAGAAAATGGAAATAACCTGGAGAAAAGAAGACTCTGAGGTAGATTATATGATACTAACTTCGAAAGCCAAACATACATAACTGTTTCAAGTGATAAAGCATATTGAAATGTTGGAAGTTACAATGCTATTAAAGTTATATGGTTATTCAAACAAAAAGTAAGCTATTGTTGCTAGGTTACAGATGTATCATTAAGAGATCAATGTGATAAGAAAATAAAGTCCTGCAGGTGTTGTGTTCTTCTGTACAATCTATTGTCCTCTCTGTCTATTACTCTGGTCCCGTCCCAGTCTATTAAACAGTAACTGTTATTTCTCATGATGTGGTTTGTCACTGCTGATTTGTTCAACCATGCATATGTAAATATTGTAAATTTGGGACCGCATTGTAGATACAGTTCCCTGCAACATAATATGTAATATGTAAATATTGTACGTTTGGGAATGCATCTATAATAGCAGTGACACCTGTGCTGCAGTGCAATGTGAACCAGTCAGAATTACCCTGAGGAAGGTGACAGACGGTCAGCGAAAAGTCGGCGGAATAAAAGACTTGGTCGTGTAAAAGGTCTCTTTACACAGAGTATAACAACAGTTCTACATAACTTGTACAAATGTAGGACTGCCTGACCTGTGATCCAGGAACAGAAACTTCCACTCCAGACTGTGCCGGGAAGTGAACTCTCTCTTGGTCTCGTCTACAACCGACATCTCCTTTAGGAACAGTGGAGCCAGCAGCTTAGCTGTCATGACCAGCACAAGCTCCTCCCCTCCTGACACAGCCATGCTGCCTTTGGTCTTCTGGTTGTCCTTTTCAACCTTACATGTAGACGTGGTTTTACCTGACACAAGAGGAACCAATTTCAATCATAAAGTATATCTTATGCTAAAACTAACTAGAGTTCCACAACTCCAAAGAATAATGTCTTCCTTGATGGAGATAACAGTCTGTAAATAACTCCTGAGAGAGACAATGACCTGCTGTACATGGGCACCACGGGCCACACCCCAGTTTACTTTGCGTTTCCATTTGAGGCTGCACACTCTCAAGTCTAGCAACTGGCTATGCCAGGGAATTCGTAAGAAAATTTAGAATAAAAAAGTAACTGTACATGTAGTGAAAAAATATCCCTTCAGCTACAAGACCAATGAGATTTGTTTCATATACATGTACCTCTTTAATTTTTGTAAAACTAACAGAATAAAACATGATTATTTTCATGCCAAAATTAATGCACAAAAGTTGCATATGTAGGATAATCCCATACAATTTCTGGCAAAAATCACTGATGTTGGCAGAAAGACACAACTTTGTCTATGAAAAATGATATATAGTAGTAGGCCTGGTAGTGGTACCACTTTTTTAATCAAATATGGCATGAGATGTTGTATGGTGTGAGGGGTCGCTCACAGAAAATAGCACTGTCATCACTAAATCAGGGTCAAACGAGCCTAAATCAACCAATTTTCACCCTACAATCCAAATTTGTTACACTTTTCAGCCATGTTAGTATCTACTGGTAATGTCATTTTACGGCTGATTATGAGAAATGTGAACTCAAACTTGGACCCTCAAAACCCTTTGACTTTTGTACAGCAAACTACCACAGACCTTTGTTGCGGAAGAACTGGGGTGTGCACCATAAGGTCTAATTGAAGCCTGTCTGATCCATTTTTAGAAATACTAGAAAAGAAAAAAATTTATCTGACATGGTAGTCTTTTAGATCTATTTTTATGACCTGTGACTTTTTCGCCAAAGTCACAGTTTGAACGGCAGTTAGGCATGCACATTATTTGGATTTGCTACTCCGCCCCTTTGGGAGCCCAGATGGTTGATGGCACGAAAACACGAGGCCACTCGACCGTTAATGTATTGTGAGTGCACATGTACCGGTATGTGGAAATGTGGGGACTTACCGGACAGGGACCTCCTGAAGCTGCCGGAGAGTTTGATACACTCGTAAGCCGGCTCCTCGGTAGGGTCGATCTTCCCTCGCACAAAGTGGCAGCTGAAGGACACATGCTTGTCTGGAGCACAAGGTGACAACATCAGACCTCGGACATGTTAGAACTGTTCATACAATTGTACAGCCAGCTTGCTGTATAGAATGATGTTCATCAATCATAATCATGCACATCAATCAATATCTCTACTGTCTACCAGTCCTGCAACTTTTAGAACAAACCCAAAGACACATGTATGCTGAGGTCATACTTCCAACCCAGGGCCCGGTAGGGCTGTTTACGTGAACAAAAAGTATGAAAGCAGAGACAAAGCAGAAATGATTTACGACAATTGATCATTAGCTTCAAGAATATTGCATATTCTTGATATGTATATGTAATACAGTCCGACCATGCCCCTGCTTGGAAATGTGAACTTGGTAATTATTATAAATCAAACTAGAGTTCCACCATCTCATACCTTCACCAAAAGATGTTAACCTTTGTGACTAAGAAATTATAGATTAATTTCCCTGATTATGCAAATAGGATCCTCAATTACATGAATTATATCTATTGATCATATTCTCCACCAAAAGACAGTCCTATCTTAACAATGAATGCTATTATGTTAAAAAAGAATGCCATTATAGCATTTCCTCATAAATTATGCAAATGAGGTCCTTATTTGAATAGGTTATGCTTAATGATGTTCACCTTCACTTAACTTTCAAATACATGTTGTATCCCAAGTATTAAAATTCCAGGCAGTTACCATTACGGAATTATAACATTTTCTCATTAATTATGCAAATTAAGTCTTCATTTGCATAATTGATATCTGCCTGTAGTTTGTTCTCAATTACATACATGTATGTCACAAGCTTAAATAGTCCTATCATAGAATGCAGCTGATTTAAAGAATTTCCTCATTAATTATACAAATTCCATCCATCATCATCATTATTATTTACAAAATGGATACTACCCCCAAGAGTGGTCACTCAGCCATATTGTTCCCATTCACAAATCTGGTGATACCTCTCTCCCAGACAATTACCGGGGGATTTCCATAGTAAGTTGTCTGGGAAAACTGTTTTCTTCTATTCTAAATTCTCGTCTTGTTAATTACGCAGAACAGAACAGCCTTTTCAAACCACAACAGGCCGGTTTCAGAAAAAATTATAGAACATCTGATAATCTCTTTGTATTAACTACTCTGGTTAGCAAATACCTCAGCAAAAACACACGCCTTTATGCATGCTTTGTGGATTTCAGCAAAGCTTTCGACTCAGTTTGGCAAGAAGGACTTCTATCCAAATTGAATGGACTTGGAATAGGAGGAAATTTTCTTTCAACCATAAAGGACATGTATTCAAAAACTACAAATTGTATTAAAACTAAATGTGGTCTTACTGAAACATTTGTAACTAACTGTGGGGTTCGTCAAGGCTGTAATCTGTCTCCGACACTGTTTAATTTATTTATAGTGATATTACAACTGTATTTGATCATGATTGCTGTAACTCCCCTGTTTTGCACAATATGAATGTTCCAACTTCCATGTCTTTTATATGCGGATGACTTAGTCATATTTTCAGAGTCCCAACGCGGCTTACAGTCATCCCTATCTAGATTAGAACAATATTGCAAAACCTGGAAGCTAAAGGTAAACCTTAAAAAGACCAAAGTAATTATATTTACTAAGGGTGGCCGCTTACCAGTACATTCTTCCTTTTTGTTTGATAATAATGTGATAGAAATAGTAGCATCCTATTGTTATCTTGGTGTCATTGTAAGCTCCGCGGGCACGTTCAAAAGCCAACAACAAACACTTCTACAGCAAGGGCCTAAAAGCATTATTTGGAATAAGACATTAGATAAAGCTGACGCATCATTAGCCGTTAAAAACAAACTCTTTGACACTTCTGTTAAGCCCACTTTACTTTACGGATCCGAAATATGGGGGGCATTCAAAAACTTAAAATCTTGTCCAATTGAAAGTGTACATTTGAAATTTTGTAAGTACTCACTCAATGTTCCTAGAACCACTTCTAACCTTGCTGCACGAGCTGAATTAGGGAGATACCCCATTCACCTGGAAGCCTCCCTAAACAGCATTAAGTATTTACACTGCGCTGTGATTGGTTAAATCCTGCATGACGTCATTATCCCTTTAAATATGAATGCCAGCCAGGCTAATCACCATTGCGATCATTGGAAGCCTCCGCTACGCCAGCTTGGAGCGACGTGCTAGTGCAGGGCGTGCCCTCCCAGCCCTCCCACGTTTTGCAGCACTGGTCTTCGGTTTGGGTGTCGGTGTCTTCCTGGCGAGTCCAGCAGTTTGGAGGCTTCCACGGCGACTCCTTCGGTTTGGAGGCGTGCAGAACGGTTTTTGCTGTCGTTTTGTGTCCACGGGTTTTTGTTTGTTTTCCCGAGTTGGTAACATTTCGTTTTTGGAGGGAATGCGTTGCACGTGGTATTGCATTTGTTACTAACTGGTTTTGGGTAGTGAGCTTGGCAGATGAATGTTGTTTGTTCTTTGCTGCACTCTTGAACTTTTAAGTGGGTAGAAAAAGAGATATGTGGTGTCTCTTTGACGTGTACGTGTTTCTGTTTTTAAGATAACGTCGCAGATTCGTAGACTTCCCGCACCAGCTGTGTAGAATCCAGGACAAGGGCGACAGCTGTAACTTCAGCAGGACCAGCGGACGCACCTCGGAAACACCTCCTACCCGGTACAGGCGGACTGGTTTTGGTCGCTGACGTTAGAGAAGCAGAGGCCTGTTCCTGAGTTCCTGAAAGAGAAGGTTTGGGTAGTGTGAAGTACAGGACGTGGTTTGCTTTTCTTTTCCGACTGTTTTTGTG